AGTCCAAGAACATCTGGAGGCCCAAGGTTGGGGACCACTGCCTAACAGCACCTCTGCTATCTGTTAGAGGTGACCGGGTGCAACTCAGCCCATGCTGAAGCAAAGGCATGTCTTTGCATGTAGAGAAACAGGGAGAGAAGAAATGTCTCAAGATTTCTAAACTGCCTTTTAGGTGATCTTCCTTCAATCTAGGCTGATATGCTTAGCGTCGCTCACATTTCCCTTCTTTATTTTGACCCCTTCTGGAGTAGGCCAGATAAAACATATTGCCCATGTTCTCCAGAGGTGAAGAGGCAGCCACGGTTCTGTGTACAGCTCAGTGGGGTTTAAGGCAGGCGTAAAGAGTTCGATTCCTCACTGTGCCTCCGTGACAGAGGCTGAACTCAATGATCCATAGGATCCCTTCCAGCTCTGCAGTTCTGATTGTCTCTATCCTAGCTAGAATGAAGATTCCTATTATCTTCCCTATCTTAATATAGTTCTCTAATAAATTTTAGCTTTCTTACGTTCCTATGACTAAGAAGCGTGGATGTGACTTTTTTCAAAAGTGGGAAATGTGCTCTCCACCATTCTAATTTTGCTTTCTTACGTTCTTATGACTAACAAGCGTGGATGTGACTTTTTTCAAAAGAGGGAAATGTGCTCTCCACCATTCTAATTTTCAGACGCTACATCCCAAAGTTCACTTAGCTGCTGCTTGGTCTCCTAACATTATCCATGATTTACTTAAGAGTGAAAGGCATCAACCTTCTGAGTATAGCGGACATTTGAGTGAATAGATTGGGAAGCGCAGATATTTTCCAACTTTGCCCACCCAGATATGTGGTAAAGCACTAACACCGATGGGAGGAAAAGGGGAGCTGTTACCACCTATAATAGTGGTGGGTAGCTCATTGCCTGAAAAGTTGTTAATTACAAGGCTCCAGTAAACAATGCAAGGCAGAAATAAGCATATCCAGCAAATATCCTGCCCTCATCCCCATCCCACCCTGAAACCTCAGCTGATGAACCAGACAAAGATGGTAAATGATCTGCTGAGCCATCAAGGCTACCTGGGGCCTCAAGAAACAATGACAGATCTAAGAGTCCAAGATATGCACTTTCAGATGCAGTTCAGTACCATCCAGAAAGCTTGCACATTGACTTTCTAGACTCATGAACCATTTTAAAAATTCTAGTCATCCATTGAATGCTTTTTCTGGCACCCTTGTTACTTGAACCTGGTTTTCTACTTCCACCTTACCATACTTGTCTCTTTCGATTCCACTGCCTATGATCTTTTTAATGGCATAGGATTATGACCTGGGTTTTTATCCTTTCTATTCAGCTGAAAAATATTGCAAAAATCACCAAGCATCTGGCTGATGAATCAAATTAGCCTTCTTTTACCCTATTCTATTTTTCAAAAGCATTTCATAGAACAGTTCTCACAACTCTGTTTTAATCACTCTGTTCTTAGTTGGGTTTCACATTTTTACAATCTTACACAATACGTCATGAATTGCTTCTTTTTTCTCTACAACCACACTCTGATATATATACAGTAATATTGAAAATGTCCATAGATGCACTTACATGGGTTTTGCTACTTTTTTTAAAGCAAGTTTTATCAGTGTGGCCTTGCTTAGAAAACACACTAGAAATATCCTAAATCAGAAATAAAATTTACCAAGATAATTGTACGTATTTATCTCCAGTAGGTTGGACGCCGATCCTAAATTATTTACTAGAAATTAAAAAACCATTATCAGGTACAAATTCAATCTGTCAAGAAACTTCAAATAAACCTGACTCCAATCAGATGTGCATGTAATATCTCAGCGACTACTTGCAGGCAAACATTAGACAAGGTATGTGGGAAAAATATGTAATTAACCACAGTTTCATTGAAGGATAACTTTCCCCTCTTTGTGAAGATTCAATGAATAGTAGGAGGAATTGTCAAATAATCAGTGAGTTAAGAGAGAGAAATAGACCCAATATGGTGGTGGACACATCAAAAATAGTAAAAAAGTTAAAAAAAACAATGGGACACCAACTAACCTAGGGTATGGAGGACAGATGAAGATTTATGTCCCCATAATTCATATTTTCTTGGCTGCCTGCATAGGTAAGAAAGATTCTACAACTCTGCGTGGGTTAAAGAAGCCATTCTGGCACATTAGAAAGGGGCCACAGACTGGAAACAGTTCTTCACACAACCTATAAGGTTTGTTATACAACATATACAATCTTGATTCAGCCTATAGTTCTTTCATTATGTGTTTACGGCCATGACCAAAAGAGGTTGAGAATGGCTGGGTTAATGTATACCTTACTGCTCTATTAAGGCATCTGAAAAGAGAGGTGCAAAATAGAGAAGACATCCTATCACCTCTTTGAATATTTGAAAATATAGGCACTTCCTTATAAGTGAAAAATAAGGAACCTTTATGGGATTATTCTTAATACCTCATGCTGGAGAATCTGAGTTTTAATTCTATGTATGATTTTAACAGTATTTACTCTGATGTATGGATGAGATCTCAATCCAAGGCTACAATCCTATGCTCATTTGGATGGCATACAACAAGTCAAGACTTTGTTCAGCAGATATGGCAGCACTGTTTAATGTACTTTTCTTTAAAGGACTTGTATGTGCGTGCATGTGTGTGTATGTGCCCGCGCTTTATGCCCCTGCAGATTAACAAAATGAGTGAGGAAGGGTAGATGGTGGAAGACATAGTTTTTGGGAAAGACTAAAACTACAATCCTGTGGGTTGCATGCATAAAGACTCAATAACAGAAGGAAAAAATGAAGAAACTGCGATTTAAGCATGGACTGATTTCCCTGACAGTTTTCACTGACAGGGCCCAAGTCTAGAACTTTACTTTACTTTATTTGGACTTATACCCCGCCTCTCTAGACAAAGTCTATTTTTAAAAATAGTCAGAAACTTGCTAAAAAGGTGCAGAGCACATTATATTTAAAATTAATTTGAAGCTAAAAAGTGAGGTTTCCATATCAAAGGATACCATTTGGGGGCAGATCTGAGCCCCAACCATCTCCCATAAATTAGGATCTATCTCACACAGTTGCTGTTACAGCTCAATATAATACATATTCACAAATATACAGGACATTGCAACACTATCATCCAGATAAGGCCATTTTCTCCTTCTTGCAGTTAAATCCTGGTTAAGAAAGGAAAGTTTGAGACTGAATGTATAGTAGTAAAGGCTTACTACCCTAGGATGTGCAACTCTTCTAAAATACATATATTTGTGTGTGTGTGCGTGCCTGCGTGTTGCACACCCTAGGCTTACACAGACACACACACACAATTCTTGGTAAGGAAGATATGTGCCAACAGGTTCAGGGTTCTGCATAGGCCATTATAATGAACTCGCCCTTTAAAAAAAGGAAGTGAAAGACAAGCTTTAGGTCTACAATGGCTCCTTAGACTCCGAAAAATAGTGGTTACAAATCTTTCCGCATGTATAGGGAGGGCTACGTGCAGCACAGGGCGTCTGCAGAAGCAGTTTTGGTTGGGCCGGAGGTCCTGGGCGAGACGGAGAGCGTCTGGCCGTGGATCTCCTCCGAGCCACACTGAGGGGGCCAGGGAGCCGCCGCGCCGGGCCGGGCCGCGCCTACCTGCTTGAAGCGGCCTTCGCAATAGGCCTGCGCTTGAGGGACGTGGAAGGCCTCGTCCATGTACGGCGAGCGTTGCTGACGGTTCACCGCCGAAAAAAGCAGGCAGGAAACGAGGAAGGCGCAGCTGAAGGCCGCCGAGAAGTAGTAGGCCTCGGAGCGCTCCATTGCAGCAGCGGGAGCAGAGAGAGAGAGAGAGAGAACGCAACCCTCCCGGGCGGCGCCGCTCAGCCGACGAAGCCAACCCGGCGAGTCGGCGCCGCGGCCCTCGGGAGGCGCTGTCGGCTCGGCGGCAAGAGCGGGCTGGCCTGGCTGGTGAGCTGGAGCCGGTCGGCATTTTATTTCCTGGAGGCGGGTAGAGCCGAGTTCAACCGGACCCAAACTCGGTGGGGCTTTCGAAAGGGGAAGCCTGCCAGTAACGAGAGCGAAAGCAGAGTCCCTGGGCCTCGCATTCCCGTTCTTTTCCCCCGTGGCTTCTGTTCTCATAAAAAATTGTGAGAATCGCTGTTCCTCAGAAAACTCATCCCATACCCTTTGAGGCTCATTGATTTCAGTGAGTCCGTTGTAAGTATGACCCTTTCTGATGTGGATACAGAACACAATGGGGGCATCATGTGTTCTCTCTCAAATGTATTTTTAAACATTACTTATTGCGGTGGTCAACGCTTGGTAGTCTGTGCATAGCCACAGCATACTTTTATTTATATTGTTAATAATAGTGTTGTGTTGTTTATTAGTACTATACAGTGCACAGATTCATGTTGGTACACCTGGAGCTGCATTGGTGTGCGCTTGTTCTCTATAAACCACGTGCAGTAAAATGCTTCCCCCCTGTATTGCTTTCCATCCTGTCTTATTTCAGGCGTGCCAACATTTGTAAAACTCATATATTCAAGATTACTAGATACAGGCCAGTCATTGATGGTTGGTGGGGCTAAAGAGTTCTAGTGCCTAGTTATTGTGTGTACCTATGTTATCAATATACTGTATGTGTATTAAGCAAGAGAAGGCAGTACCCCCAGGAGGGTAATCTTGTGAACAGGAGGCAATTATTTTTCGACTACCTGTTGTTGGTGCAATTGCCAATTTCTACTGACCTTGCTTCTTTGCTTTTTACAGCAGCCAACAATGAAATAAATTTTGCTTGATACTTCAGTGCAAGGAAAAACTTAATTTGCTTTAAAAAAAACCCAAGTCTTAAAAGTCTCAGGACCTATATAGACAAGGGAACACCCTTTGCAGAGAGCTGTTACTTTTAAAACTAAATGTTAGATTTAAATCTTAAATCTGCAGAGCTGGAAGGGATCCTAAGGAACATCAAGTCCAGCTCCTGTCAAGGAGGCACAGTGGGGAATTGAACTCTCAGCCTCTGGCTTTGCAGCCAGGTTTGGCCTTCAACAAATAAATGGTACTCATGTTCCATCTTTGGAAGCTCAGTGTATTTGATATGAGACAAGACTCCACCATGCCTTCACCTCATCTGGCAGATGTAAGGAGCTAAGTGGCAACCACAGATACTGACTCTGCTAAGCCACACCAAAATCTATGGATTGCAACATTGCAGTGGTGTTTATTTTTACAAGTTTATTCAACATTTCTCATATATTTGTCTTCCTTTTCTTGCAGAACTATAAAAGGGAGAGGTTACATTTTTGTTTTTGAAGGCGAAAGTTCAGTATAACTGCAAGAATTGCAGTTTCTGGCCTTAGTGAGAGTGATTCCCAAAGTTGTTACATGCTTGTATTTTCACGTTACGTTCTTGTTAGAGAATGTCACTCATTTACAAGATCCCTCTGCTTAAACCAGAACAGGTCTGGGGCATAAATGACTCAAAATACTTCAGTTTTTTTCTGTGGTCAGTGTGGATTAATGAGACCATTCTTCACAGTTAATACTAATCCAGTGCAAACTTGACCCTTTCAAAACATCTCCATCGAATGTACTTTCATGTTTTATTAAATAAAACTACCCTCCGGGTAGCAAAAATAAAGTATCAACAGTACCCATCAATGATTTATATGTTTGTATAAATGTTCCAGGTCTGGCTGATCCAAAGAAGCCTACTGTTTTGTTACAAGATGCAGTGTTCGAGGCATCGATTGGAACTATTTCCTGACTGTCTTGTTACCCTTATCCTATTTAAAGATGTGAAGAACGCTGCCATTCTAAGAAAAAAAGCAATGGATGGTACTATTGATGGAGCATTAATTAATCCTGCAATGGTGAGCAAATTCTATAAGCAGTGTGCATGTGTGTGTTCACTTAGCCAGCTAGCACAGCATCTGTAGTACCTGAGGTATTGTTACATAACCTCACCCGTGGGTTTCTGGGCTAAACTCCATTTTCATCCCATTCAGTTCTGTGGGATGTGTGTTAGTGCAGACATGTACATTTCATTTCAGTGTGTTTCCTTCTTGTTGGGACTAACCAATGTCAGAAGCACAAAAACATGGACATGCTTGATGGGGAAGACAAAAACATGTAAGAGGGGAAGAGGTAAAATTGGCACCATAGCTTCTGTATCAAGAAATTTCTTTGTGTGTGGTTTCATTTCTTAACTTCTTGGGTGCTTTCGGTTTGTAGATGTGTATTTATATGGACACACACTGAGCTCAGTGTTTTGTTTGTGTAAAATTTTAAATTCGCTGTAGGATCACTTTCACTTTGGACACTTTTTAAAGAAGTGTTCAAAAATAGAAGGTACACTGTAGACTGAAAAGGGAATTTTGGGAGAAAATTCTGAAATCTCTGCATTTGTAAAATGTTTTCCTACAACACTGTAATCTCAGTGAGGTTCTTCGTTCGTCCTGCTTAGCAAAAATATATTTGCTGGCCTTTTGCAAAGTAGTGAGAGCCATTTCTTTTGGCAACCAAATTACAAACATCAGGGTATGAGAGAAAAATACAGTTTTCCTAGGGTGAATATTACATTTCTATTAAATTATAGTATTAAAATATTGACTTCCCTGACTTTAGGTCTGGGTCCCAGGGATGAGATATTATATAGTAATAGTCATTGTGTGTACCTGTGTTATTGTGTGTACCTCAAAATAGTATCAATACTTCCTGAAGTCCAATAAGAACAGCTAAGACCCAGCTGGAATAAACAAGAAGCTCATTGATAGATAGATGGATAGCTAGATAGATGGACGGACGGACGGAGGGGCAGACAGACAGACAGACAGACAGATATGTTGGTTGGGTAGATAGATATGAGAGAGAATGAAGCTTCTTATTTATTCCAGCTGGGTCTTAGCTGTTCTTATTGGACTTCAGGAAGTATTGATACTATTTTGAGGCCTGGTATTTGGACATAAAACTTTTTCCTATTTTCTCTGTCAGATTGTTGATCCATTTCAGATACTTGTGGCAACAAATAAAGCAGTTCATCTCTACAAGATTGGTAAAATGAAGACCAGAACCCTTAATGCAGAAATAATATTCAACCTGTCACCAGCCAACAATGTAAGATATCTGCCTCTTAGTTTCATGTGGCTTGTTGAACCATAAAGCTATGTTAGATGGTACAGGTGCATGCTTGCTCTTTATACACCCCACTGAACATTAATTCATCTTCCCTTTGTATGTATACAGATGTGAAACAGAACAAGAAAGTGTGTGCAGCTGATATATTTATTTACTTACTTACTTTGTACCAGTTGTATTGGCTCTTGCCTTTCCATTGGACTATTTCAGTGATGTGGAGAGGGGGGATTTGCTGCTTGGGTAACAGCCTATCCTCTATATCAGTGGTCCTCAACCTTGGGCCTCCAGATGTTCTTGGACTTCAACTCCCAGAAAGCCTGGCCAGCAGAGATAGTGGTGAAGGCTTCTGGGAGCTGTGGTACAAGAACATCTGGAGGCCCAAGGTTGAGGACCACTGCTCTATATTATTTTACCCAGGCTTCGTGCTCTGGAGAGGACACCAGCTTCGCATACAGCGTTTAAGTCCTACATACAGAGCACGTTACCATAGTCTCTTGAGACTGAAGGATGCCTATGATGATGATGATCATATATTCTGCCATTCTCCCAATGAGGGAATCCAAGGCGGCTCAGAATATTAAAACAACTTTAAAATATGTGAATGAACATTTATTTACTTGTGACAAAAAGTGTCACTGTTGCCTGCAAATAATAACATAGAAAACCTGATATTGTTCAGTGTTTTTGAATGGCTTGTTCTCACTCGTAAACCAGTCGTTTTTTTCTCTTTAAAAGCAAAATGGTTACTGTAGAATTGGGAAAATATTTTCATATATTTTTCCAGAATGCTAAGATGTGACTGATAAATTTCTATATTTTTCCTTTCTGTCAGATATCAGATGCTTTCAGAAGGTTTGGCATATCAGACAGTGACACTGCAGTTCTCATTGTTCTGATTGAAGACCAAGAGAAAACTGTGAATCTGGAAGATCTAATAAGTCAGGTTGAAGGCCAGCAAATCTCTCTAGCAGATCTCCCAAAACTAACAGACCTACAAAAAGTTCAAAAGGTTTGTACAAGCTTGTGCAGGGGATAATATGGGTATAAAATGAGAAAGCGCATCTTGCTTGATTTTTAACTACTTTGGATATGAATTTATTAGAGGTAAAGCCTCAGTGGAATTCATTCCCAGATAAGGATGCCTAGGATTTAAACCATACAAATGCATTTGATTAATTTTCCTGTGTCCTTTGAATCTTTCTTAATCTATGAGGGATGTTTTGAAATGGTTAAAAAAATAAATTTTAAGATATTTGTAAAATACATTAATGCCTCTACACAAGATTTAAGGAAAAATTGCCAGAACTCTGTTGTCAAATTTTTCATTTTGTTTTTTTGTGCAGATGTACAAGCTTACTCCACAAGAAGAAAAAATAGGTACATTGCTGGATGGCATCATTTGTAGAATGGCGACAAAAGATGTTTCATAGAAATAAAAATTGAACAGTTGCAGGTTGTTTCTGGGGGAAAAAAGTTTATCTTATATCTTCTATGTGGTTGATCCACTGTGGTGAATTTCAATATTTTATTTGCAAATGGAACATGACACTATTTTAATACAGGAAATGGAAATAATATTTGAATATTGCATTTTTGCATTTTTATTCACTGTATTTATATTTTCCCACTATGCCACTATACTAAAGATGGCTTACAGTTTAAAATACTAAAAAGTAAATAATAAAATAAAGCAAAAACAAACAAACGTGCAGAACTTTCTTAGGCTATTATTGGTCTGTTTATGTGCTGGTGCTCTGGTCTCCCTTTCTTGAACTTCTGCCTCCCATCAGAAGGTTCATAGAAGTATTAAGCATCCTTTGGAAACTGGTAGGCAGGCTCTCCCAGCCAGATTCTCTTAAAAGCAGGTTCTGAATCTACAATATTGATAGTTAGCAAATCACCATCAACCTGCAGATCAACTTGTAGGGTAAGACATTCAAAATACTTGCAACAAGGTTGATTCCAAGGCTACAACCCTGAACACACTTATTTCAGAATATGTCTCAAACTCAGAGATTTGCTTCTGAATAGATATACAGTATAGGATTGTGCTCTAATCTTGACAGCAATACAGTCCAACTGTTCTTTTCCTATAATAATCGTGGTTTGTGCTGACATCATACGTGCTGCACATTTAAGATGAAAACCATAAAGAACAGAAACCTATATTTGGCTTTGAAAATGAGTGCATTGATATTTAAATCTTAATCTAGAAAATACTTTTTAAAGCATGTTCCTTAACTCGACATGGAATTGTGCTCGGTCTTTAAAATATAGCCATACACCTACTTTAGAAAGCTTATTAGCTTTCCTTTAAGCCCTTTTGTTTGCCTTGCTAGGTAAAAAAGACAAATATGTAGTGACAGAAAGAATCTTTGCAGATTAGAACACTGTGCCAAAACTTATGAGAAGGGTTGAAAGGGGTTAGCAAAAATGATAACATCAATAGCTGAGTTGTTTCTGGTGGCCATCTTTTAAGACAATGTGTCTGAGCAATGTGATCGGTAGACATAAGATAAAATCTAGAGTTAGAAGTGGAAAGAACCAAAGCTTCTGAAACAGAACAGCTTTAGCAAGCATTATGATGGAAAATTTAACTCTTGTTTTCATTGCCTGACAAAGCAAATGGCACATGGAATATATCATCCAGTTTGCTGGCTGAAATGGGGAGACTATTTTTGGTATTGTGGACGAACGGCAAAGCAGGTACGTTGAAGTCATATCCTTTTTTGAACATGTGTGAAAAATCACTCGAGTCCAGTTAACATAAACAGAAGGGCTCGTAAAACCATCGCTACCCAACAGCGATACACACAGCTTGAACTTCGGCTTTCTCATTTTCGTCAATTGAGCCCCAGAGGTGAAGTGCATAAACAGTGTTACAGGGTTTGTGTAAATGTTTTTTTTTACTTAGCCCTTTAAATAATGCTCCAGGTATGCTTATCTTGTGTGTATTCAAAATTCACTCTGTGAAACATGTTTGTCCTTTGAGAAGGCAAGCAAGAATTGCTTTAAAGCTCAGGTGTATCGGATTTTCAAACTATATAGTGTTTTCAAATTATGTATGTTGATTTTTTAGACTATGTAATTTCAAGGAATGGTTTCCCTGATGACTCGTCTACTGAGCAACACCTGGTTAATGGTAATAAATCTTAAACAGACCCTTAGCTGGTGTTTTAGGCATACATTCATTGTGAGGCATCAAACAACCTGTTGCTCCAGATCACTGGAGCAAACTAGAAGGTATCGAACACTTCTCCCCTGCATAGGCCAGCATTAGGTATGGGCAAGTTATTTGTCACCGAAGATCATCCACACACCCATACTGTTAGGATGTGGCAACCAATCACTTTAGAGCGCAGAAGCAGCCTGTCACCCATTTCCTCCTGAGCTCCTTGGATCCTCCCCCTCTACTGAAGGATGACGCTATGTGCCCATATGGCCTTTCCTCCACCTGTAAACCATACACTCAGATGATGTAGAATGATGATACTGTTCTATCACCTCATTCTGTCACTAACCAAGTCAATGCATCTCAAACCAATACACTTACCATTACCATATAAATAGAAATGGCACACACCACCAGTTTGGCGGGTTTGTGCTGGTTCATTTATCGGCCAAACAGGTGTTTGGTGCTTTAAAGCCCCCTTCCTCTGGACAGGTGCCCACTCAGAAGCAGCACTTGGAGGAGGTGGGGCAGGAAAGCTGGGCCACTGCAATTGAGTGGGCACCCACTGGAGGAGGTGGGTTCTGAAGTGCCAAACACTTGTTTGGTCAATAAACTGAAGCAAACCGCTTGGCCGGCAGTTTGTGGCCATCTCTACATATAAACAAATGGAGTTGCTTTTGAATAGACTTTGTATATGATTGCACTGTATGTTTTAAATTAAATCTCCTTTACAGGAATATATCCATGATTGTTTTTCTCTTTTCTTGTGATCAAATACCTTAGCTAAATATTAAATAGTTATTTAATTTAGGGTTTCATTGGATGGTTTGGCTTTCTTTTTGTTTTGAACTCAGCATCAATTAAACTAATGGAAAGGAAAAGTTTCCCACTCTAAAATTTAGCCTCAAATCTGAAGGAAGATTTTTTAGAAGATTGTTCTCTGTTTTGTAAGTCAATTTTGAGAATAAATTGTAGAGACATGATGGAGAGTCATTTATGGAAATTTTCCCCAGGAGGTTCTGAGTTACACGAGACCAATGGATTACTAAAAAGTTGGAAATAAGGAAAGGTTTTGTGTTTCATTACCCTTCATCAGGCAAGGATGGTACAAAATCTGGGCTTTAAACAAAATGTTCAGATGTTAGGTCAGATACATTAGCCATGGTTCATACAATCAAGACTGCTAGACATTGAGTTTTAGATTCTACAGCAAAGAACTCCTCTTGCTGAAAGTTTTAATGAATCAAAGTGGATAGAATGTTAGACTGGGATTCAGGACTCCTAGGCTCATATTCCTGCTCAGACATGAAAACCCATTGGAAGGTAGCAATAGCAAACCACTCCATGAGTGTCTCATGAATAGAGATGTGTGCTTCGTATTCATAGCTAGGGAATACAAATACAAAGTGCACCAGCACAGGTGGTCCCAGTGGTCCATTCCTGCCCCCTGGAATGAGCTCATTCCACTTATCAGGCTCTGTGTAGCATGTGCATCTGTCAACATTGGCATCGCACCAATCATGGCAGTAGTCCCACTGGCGCTTCCCCACCTCTCCCTGCAGCTGACCACTCAGCAACTGAGTGGGGAGACTCAACTTTCTGCCTCTTTGTTGGAGTGGTTGGCTGTGAGGAGAGGCAGAGAAGCACCAGCGATACTACTGCTGTGATTGGTGCGACACTGAAGTTCATGGATGTGCGTGCCACACAAGGCCCAGTAACTGGTTTCCGGGGGGTGGGGAATGGACTGCAGGGGGACCTGCGCTGGTGTGCTTCATAATGGTATCCCCTGGATACTAATAGAAAGTGCACATCTCTACTCATGAACCTCAAAAATCCTATTAAGGCCGCCCTAAGTTGGAAGGGATTTGATAGCACATAAGAATACCAAAAAAGTTATTGCCTAACCCAGAACTTTGCTGTTATGGAAAGGAGCTTATACTGTTGCATCTGCGACCTGTTTTCCTTATCACAAAAAACTGCAGAAACTTGCAAAGTACATGGAATATGCAATTACTTGCACAGTAGTATTCTCAGCATCTTGCAGGTTGACATTTTTTTTAATGTCACATCTCTGACAGTTGTACGCTTGTCCTTTCTCTTTTGTTTGTTATACTTATCTACGTGAAAAATGAACCAACCATCAGACTCACAAGAATAATGAGAAAAGATTTTCCCTGCTGGTTTCTGGGTGCATGTGTTCCATCCAAAATAAATATTCAAGCATGACGTTTGCAGATTCTCAAAGGAACATTATAAAATGAGGTGAGGTGCTCCATATTTTCATTGTTTAGACTCATGGATCACTCCTTTGTCCAGGGTACAAAGGGTAACAACAAGCTCTAGCTTGAGACTTTTGTGCTGTTCAAACACCTTTTGGATCTTGTTCCAGATCAGTTTAAGGCACAGTACATTTCTCCCAAGTTATTCACTCCCTGGTTAGGGTTGTGGTGGGGAAGAGGGAGGAAAGTATCTTTCTCTTCCCTGTTGCCCTCCCTTTTACTCTCCTAAGTGGCCCGAAAATCTCTTATTTAAGACTGGGGGGAACTCTGTATGGGAATATTCCTTTTGGTATGTGCCATCAAGTTGGAACTGACTTACTGTGACCCTAATAGGGCTTTCAAGGTAAGTGAGATAATTAAGGAGTGGTTTTACCAGCTCCACTCCTCCTGTGAGATTCCATGGCCAAATAGGAATTCAAATCCTGGTCTCTAGGGTCCTAGTCCAGCACTCTGACCAGTACACCACACTGGGTAACTTAATATTCCTTTTAGGGGCTCAGGGTCCTAGTCCAGCACTTTGTCCAGTACACCATACTGGGTAACTTAATATTCCTTTTAGGGGCTGGTATAGGGGGAAGATTTCCACTACATTTCACGTTTTATGAGTAATTTGGCCTTTCTCACCAGATTACTCATAAACATATTCAGGATTCATATGCAATTGCATACGACCCATAAACTCAAACACAGGTTGGGGGGGGGGGAAGGACACGACAAATCCTCCCCCTATGGACATTACAACTGGAGCAGAGAGGTAATCATATCCTCTGATCTACATTCCCTCAATTTTCATAAGATTATAAGGTGCTATCACATCCTCCCCCTATGGACATTGCAACTGAAGCAGAGAGCTAATCTTATCCTCTGATCTACATTCCCTCTTTTTTCATAAGATTATAAGGTGCTATCACATGGTTAAAATAAAGCTACAAGCAGTTGATGAAGTTTTGCCCCTAGAAAACAAGCAACTTTACAGCAAGAACACATTTAAACGTAACCTTTACCACAGGCATGCAGAGTGCTTTCCTAATGTTAATTAATTCACAGGGCACAGTCTGAACATTTGTGGTGCAGCAATCTTGATGCAGCTAAATCATTCTGTATTTGGTCAGTACATGAGTGAGAGGCCCCCAGGGAACACGAAACATGCAGCTTGCTTTGAGTTCTGCAAAGAGATATCATATTAAAATTAAGGTCTTAAAAACCTGCTCCTGTGCTGCTTGTCTAAAGCATGCGTTTGTAGCTTGCTGGATCATTTCTTATCTTTGAATCACATGGACTGTGTCGCCTCTGCTTACATATAATGCTACCAGTATTCCACACCATCTATGCAATTTGTCCATGTTTCTCTTGCTGGCCTGGGTGCAAGGGTGCCACACAGTGATCCCTTTTATGTTGCAGGTATGGGCAGAAGATAAATCTGGACCTACTGGGAAATCTGGATCTGCTCTAAGGAATTGCTAGTTATATGGGCAAAGATTTCTAGCTCCCAACAGTTTAACAACGCCAGCAACAGAATGACTTGTCTCTGGTGACAGAAAAATATACTTCTTTGGACTGCAAATTTCAGAATCTCACAGTCGCTGGGCACTGTTGCAAAATAAATAAATAAA